AACATTGGTGTTCCCTAAGGGTCAGTCTTAAGATCACTGCTTTTTGATATGTATAAATGATTTGGGTACTGAAATAAAGAGCTAAAACTTCAAAATTTGCTAACATTGCCAAATTTTGAGGTATGCCAAAGTGAGTATCATCCCAGATAACTGCACAGGACATACTAGGACAAGGGAGGAAGCAGCCAATTGACAGACTGAATTTAATGCTGATACAGCTGTGCAAGTTCATGACAGGATAAGATAAGAGAATGAGAAGTTTTTTTCCCATTATCTGATGGTATAAGGACTAGCAAACAGAGATTTAAGTTTTTAGGCAAACAATACATGCAGTAGTTGAGAAAGTCAGTTTCTTTATTAAATCAGTGAGTGGCAATGACTTGGAACATATTGCAAATGTTAGTGGTGGTCTTAGAGGCAATCTACGATTTTAAAATGAAATAAACTTGTAAGGCCACAGAGAAATAATGGGAGAATGGGAGTGACTGGATTGCTCTACAGAAAGCTTGCATGGACTCATAGTTCAGAGCAATGCCTTCCTTGAGAAATGACCATGTGACCCATGCCATATAAATATATTTGAATATAATGGGAACACAAGTAAATTCTGCAATTCCAAGTTTCTCAACGAGAAAGATGAATGTAAAGAGAGGATAAACTAAATATGCAGCTGCAATATTGAAATGATAATCTCTAATTCAAGAATAATGGAATCAACCTTATGATTTATTAATTTTTCTGTGATGTATCTTGAAAATACTCACTACTTGTTGAACTTGTCCATCCTCCCCTATACGATGAATATGAACCTGCTGAGCATTTGCTAATGCATAGTGGAGTGTCTGTGCCTGATTCTGCTGTAAATCTCCAGGAGACGACACTGATCCTTGCATTCCACCTTGATAAAGAGAAGAGGAAGAAAACTGCATGCAACAAGTTTTAAATATAAAAACACTTTTATTCACAAACTTGACATTTTGTAATTTTTAAAGTAAGACACATTCTGATATTTTCTCCATGGTTTTCCTAAGTTACTGTTTCAACTAAACCCACTCTAAACAGAATGCTACAGGTCCATACGAACTTTTCATGGATGACTATTGTCCAGTTTCTACGCCTTGGTGAAAAAAATCTGACCACCCATTGGATGATCCTAGATCTTGAGGTTGGTTGGCTCACCAAGCTGGTTTGTTGTTTTGCAGACATTTCGTTACCATGCTTGGTAACATCCTCAGCGCAGCCTCCGATGAAGCATCGGCGTGTTTTCCCGCCTGGCTTTTAAACTCTGGGGTCCGTTGAGATGGATCGCCTCACTTCCAGTTTTCCTTGGTAGTGGAATGTATATGGGGTCGAGTTCAATGTGTTTATTAATATCATACTTCGTGGAGTACCATGCTTCCAGGAATTCTCGTGCTTGTCTCTGCCTAGCCTGTCCCCGGATCTTGGTGTTGTCCCAGTCGAAGTCGTGGTTCTCCTTGTCCATGTGGATTGAGATGAGTGAGTATTGGTCATGTCTTTTTGTAGCCTGTTGGTGTTCATGTACTCTTGTTGTTAGTTTCCTTCCTGTTTGTCCGATTGTAGTGTTTCTCGCAGTCTCTGCAGAGGATTTTGTAGATGACATTGGTCCTGTCCATGGCGGGGAGTGGGTCTTTAATTCGGGTGAGCAGTTGTCGTAGGGTTGACGTGGGCTTGTGTGCCACTCTGATGCCCGCGGTCATAGGAGACTTGTGGTGAGTTCCGACGTGTTCCTGACGTAGGGTAGTGTGATGAGTGTGTCGGGGTGTGTAGAGTCTTTCTGATGCTGTTCTTGTAGGCATCTTCTGACCCAGTTCTTTGGATATCCATCATTATCCTTGAACACTTGGAAGAGGTATTCTTCTTCCTCTTGGCGTAGTTCCGTGTTGCTGCAGTGTGTTGTTGCCCTTTTAAATAGTGTTCGCACGCAGCTTCGTTTGTGTGTGCTGGGATGGTTACTTTTGAAGTTCAGGACTAGGTCTGTGTGTGTGGCTTTTCGGTGTACTTTCGTTTGCAGTTCCCCATTTGTCTTGCGCTCTACCGTGACGTCCAGGAATGGGAGCTGTTGGTTCTTCTCCTCCTCTCTGGTGAATCTTATTCCGGTGAGGGTGTTGTTCATAAGTTTGTGTGTCTCTTCTAATTTAGTCCGTTTAATGATGACAAAGGTGTCGTCTACGTAGCGTATCCACAGTTTGGGTTGGATTTACGGGAGGGCGGTCCTTTCCAGTCTTTGCATCACTGCTTCTGCTATGAGTCCGGAGATAGGTGATCCCATGGGTGTCCCGTTGATTTGCTCGTATGTTTGGCCGTTGAAGGTGAAGTGGATGGTCAGGCAAAGGTCCAATAGTTTGAGCATGTTGTCCTTGGAGATGGTTTCACTGGAGCCGTGTTCTTGTTCAAGTAGTGTTGTCATTGTCCCCCTTGCTAGTGGTATGTCTATTGATGTGAATAGGGCAGTGACATCAAACAATATCATGGTCTCTTCATCTTCTATCTTTATGTCTTTGATGGAGTTGAAGAATTCTTGGGCTGAGCGGATAGAGTGGGGTGACTTGTTGACTAGGTGCCTGAGTCTTCTATGAGGTTCTTTGGCTGGTCTGTGCGATGGAGTGCCTGGTAGGGAGACTATGGGTCTGAGGGGACTTCCGGCTTGTGAACTTTAGGGAGGCCGTAGAATTGAGGTGTGTTGGTTCCTTCGGGTTTCATTTTTAAGAAGTCTGTTTTGTTGATCTGTCCTGTTTGTTTAAGTCTTTGTAGCATGTAGAGGATTTTGTTGCCTAGTTGCGGTGTCGGGTCAGTCTGTACTGGCCAGTATGTGTTCTCGTCGACGAGCAGTGCTTGTGCCTTGGAGATGTAGTCCCTTTTATTCATTATCACTGTCAAGCGCCCTTTGTCTGCAGGTAGTATTGTGATGTTCTTGTCCTTCTTTAATCCGTCCAGGACTTGTCTTTCCCGTGTGTTGAGGGTGTTGAGTTCACTCCTTCTGGTTAGTGTCGGGACTCCTGTCTGTCTTATGGTTTGTTGTATTTCTTCGTTGATATTGTTGGTCTTGACTGTGGCTTCCATTGTAGCTAGGAACTACAACTACAGGGACGCCAACAAAAACGGAATTCCTAGCTACACTGGAAGCCACACTCAAGACCAACAATATCAACGAAGAAACACAACAAACCATAAGACAGACAGTAGTCCCGACACTAACCAGAAGGAGTGAACTCAACACCCTCAACACACGGGAAAGACAAGTCCTGGACGGATTAAAGAAGGACAAGAACATCACAATACTACCTGCAGACAAAGGGCGCTTGACAGTGATAATGAATAAAAGGGACTACATCTCCAAGGCACAAGCACTGCTCGTCGACGAGAACACATACTGGCCAGTACAGACTGACCCGACACCGCAACTAGGCAACAAAATCCTCTACATGCTACAAAGACTTAAACAAACAGGACAGATCAACAAAACAGACTTCTTAAAAATGAAACCCGAAGGAACCAACACACCTCAATTCTACGGCCTCCCTAAAGTTCACAAGCCGGAAGTCCCCTCAGACCCATAGTCTCCCTACCAGGCACTCCATCGCACAGACCAGCCAAAGAACCTCAAAGAAGACTCAGGCACCTAGTCAACAAGTCACCCCACTCTATCCGCTCAGCCCAAGAATTCTTCAACTCCATCAAAGACATAAAGATAGAAGATGAAGAGACCATGATATTGTTTGATGTCACTGCCCTATTCACATCAATAGACATACCACTAGCAAGGGGGACAATGACAACACTACTTGAACAAGAACACGGCTCCAGTGAAACCATCTCCAAGGACAACATGCTCAAACTATTGGACCTTTGCCTGACCATCCACTTCACCTTCAACGGCCAAACATACGAGCAAATCAACGGGACACCCATGGGATCACCTATCTCCGGACTCATAGCAGAAGCAGTGATGCAAAGACTGGAAAGGACCGCCCTCCCGTAAATCCAACCCAAACTGTGGATACGCTACGTAGACGACACCTTTGTCATCATTAAACGGACTAAATTAGAAGAGACACACAAACTTATGAACAACACCCTCACCGGAATAAGATTCACCAGAGAGGAGGAGAAGAACCAACAGCTCCCATTCCTGGACGTCACGGTAGAGCGCAAGACAAATGGGGAACTGCAAACGAAAGTACACCGAAAAGCCACACACACAGACCTAGTCCTGAACTTCAAAAGTAACCATCCCAGCACACACAAACGAAGCTGCGTGCGAACACTATTTAAAAGGGCAACAACACACTGCAGCAACACGGAACTACGCCAAGAGGAAGAAGAATACCTCTTCCAAGTGTTCAAGGATAATGATGGATATCCAAAGAACTGGGTCAGAAGATGCCTACAAGAACAGCATCAGAAAGACTCTACACGCCCCGACACACTCATCACACTACCCTACGTCAGGAACACGTCGGAACTCACCACAAGTCTCCTATGACCGCGGGCATCAGAGTGGCACACAAGCCCACGTCAACCCTACGACAACTGCTCACCCGAATTAAAGACCCACTCCCCGCCATGGACAGGATCAATGTCATCTGCAAAATCCTCTGCAGAGACTGCGAGAAACACTACAATCGGACAAACAGGAAGGAAACTAACAACAAGAGTACATGAACACCAACAGGCTACAAAAAGACATGACCAATACTCACTCATCTCAATCCACATGGACAAGGAGAACCACGACTTCGACTGGGACAACACCAAGATCCGGGGACAGGCTAGGCAGAGACAAGCACGAGAATTCCTGGAAGCATGGCACTCCACGAAGCATGATATTAATAAACACATTGAACTCGACCCCATATACATTCCACTACCAAGGAAAACTGGAAGTGAGGCGATCCATCTCAACGGACCCCAGAGTTTAAAAGCCAGGCGGGAAAAACATGCTGACGCTTCATCGGAGGCCGCGCTGAGGATGTTACCAAGCATGGTAACGAAATGTCTGCAAAACAACAAACCAGCTCGGTGAGCCAACCAACCTCAACACCCACAACCCGAGCTACAGATCTACTCCAAAACCTTAGAGATCCTAGATCTTACCATTCCTCACAAATTGATGAAATAAACATCTTGCCTTAATAAACCTTGAAATTAAAGCCTTCTACAATTTCTTCTAAAGAAATTACTTCCACTGCATTGTGCATAGGTGTTTTGGTAACTAACCCATCTATTCTATTTATAAATGTGAGAACAACAGTAACAGCAACAGCAGGGCTGGTTCCTGGAGCATTGGTCAGTTATTCACTTTAGAAGTAGAATTGAAAATCAAAATATTTTTGAAAAGCATTAAACTTGCAAATGCTGACATCCAAAAAAAATGAATACACTCATTTAGGAAAGGTAAAATTAACATGCAAATACAGCAAAGAATTATGAAGTTATACCACACATTGCACTTTTTGCAAGGGGACTGGAATACAAGAATTAGGAAGTCTTGCTACATACACATGTTCAGTGCTTTGATGAAACTGCAGTTTTGGTCCTCACCCATAAGGAAGGCTTTATTTGTCTTGGAGGTGGTACAGTGAAGGTTCACTAGATTGACAGGCTGAGTAAAATTGGGTGTACAGTCTTTGGAACATTGAAGAATGAGAGGTTATCTCCTTAAAACATATATGATGAGAAAAGGGCTTGGCATGTTAGAAACAGAGGCTGTTCCCCTAATCTGCGGAATCTAGAACATAGGAACAGTGTCTCAGGATGAGGGATCAAACATTTAAGACTTAAATGAAAAGAAATAGTTTCACTGGAAGGTTTATAATTTTTTGGAATTCTTTATCCTAAGGCTGACTCAGTGAAAATATTTAAGACCAAGCAAGAAAA